ACTTTAACCCCGTATTCAGTTCCATCGCTTTTTATTACCTGGTCAATAATTGCTGTACGTGGGCCTGAATTATTTATAAAGCTATTATCACTTTAGGCCCGGCACCACAGAAGCCAGTGTAATAATCCAGATAATAGCTTATGATTAGCAGCAATATTTAAAAAAAAAAAACAAAAAAAACGTCATCTCGGAACCTCAGAACTGATGTTCCAAGATTAAGTATTCTAATTAATGTCATTCCTAGTTATGTGGCAGTCTCCGATGGAGGTGTTGGCACTATATTCAGGTGGTTTTAAATTTAATACATTTTAAAGTGAATAAAAACCTCTTTAAATAAAGGGTGTTCCAATAACTTGGACCGATTGTAAGTTTAAGCGTCTAATATTTTTTTTTCTTTTTTTCAGATTTAACAACTTAAGTCTTTGGCAATTTCAACCATGGAAAGATTTACAATCAAAAAACGTGTTAAAGTTATCGAAGCCTATTACGAAAATGGACGTTCAAACAGAAATGCAATGAGAAGTTCCCAGGTTGCATCATCTGTCGAAACATCGAAGTCAATTGGCCACCACAATCGTGCGACTTGACGCCTTTAGATTTCTTCCATTGGGGTCATCTCAAAAGTAAGGTCTATGCCAACAAGCCAACAACAATTCAACGGCTGAAGGATGAGATAATAATGCATATTAGTGAGAGCGAGGAGCAACTATGCAGAGACGTTATCAAACATTTTGGCCATCGAGTAGAGTTATGCCGCCGAAGCCTTGGCGGACATTTGGGTGATATTATTTTTCACACATAATTGCCATGACTTAAATAACATGATCCAATAGAGAAATAAATAAATTGTCGCCAATAACACTGATTTATTTACTGCTGACTTTGATCCGTCTTAATGAAACCCTCTTTATAGCAAAATTTAAATATAATTTACAATAGAGATAGTTTTAGAATTCTATGTCTCTTCAGGGAGTAGACGAACATGACACTCCAATAATTCCTTTTTATTTTCTTTATGGAAAGTGAAGCACATCCAAATTCTAATCGAATTATTTTTTTTATTACCTGAATATTTTTGCAACGCGCTGACGTGTGTTGAAATCCGCACAGTATTTAGTATAGTTGAAAGTATCGCTAACGTTTGGAGACCTTGTGGCATATAGTGCACGAGGTCTCTGTAATCGGCGTTTCAAAAAGTGTGGATGGTCCTGCACGAAACCTTCACCGCTATAATCAAATCTCATGTGCTATACATGCGGGTTGGGGACCGCTTGTGAATTCCAAATTCCCATGAAACTCCAATATTGGAGCCGGCTCAACCCACCCCGGGTGAATGGCGTTACAAGAACAAGAGAAGAAAGTATCAGTAACATCTTCTATCGAGATTACGAACTCTATGTTTCGTTCAATTTCGAAAAGCAATCGATGATATTTGATGTTGATTTATATGGAAAAACACTTTGATAAAAACCCTACTTCACGGTTTTTATGCACCCTAGTAAAACCAACTGTACTTTGTATCCCTTACCTGTTTGTACTTCTCTCCAAAATCTGGTTTTGATCGGTCAATGTATAGAGGGTGTGACAGACGGACTAACGGAAGTCACAGATTTTTTTTTATATATAGATTATTATAATAATTATTCCTGAAACCATTACTTTAATCTTCTCAATGTTTTCTTCCAGCATCTTTTTAAAATTGACTGTCAAACTTGTTTTTTTTTGTATTTTTGTGAAAGACAATTTACCCGGAGTCAGAATAAATTGATTGCCAATTCCGTCATTGTTATCTGTTGACTGTCTTTGTTTTCTTGGAAGAGACAAATCTCAAGAAACAATCAATTTAAGAGTCATTTTAAAGCAATGAACGGCTTTCTTTTTTTTCTTTCTGCTATAAATATCCTATTTAACAGGGGATACTTGTAAACAGCCCTCTGTATTTAAACAATGAAATTAAGATCTACCGGCTTAGAGATCAAAAGTCTTGATTAATGGGAATATGCCTCTCGAAAGGCATCAAACTGATATTTCTTATTTTGAGGACATTTTTTTTCTTTTTTTGCAGTATATTATTGCAACATAACTGTTATTGGAAGATCTCCCCTTTTTAGTCATGGTAAATCACAAATAAAAATTTGACTCTCCACTCAATTCTCCAAAAGATCTAAGGCTTTTAAAATATTGATATTTTTGCTTTAAAATAATGGGGGGGATAATTTATATTTTAAGCCATATTATGTCAACCACTAAATGTTTATATACTCTGATTTTTTTCTCTCGCTCTCTCTCTCTCTCGTCACAAATTTTTTTAGCATAAGATTTTATTTTTAAGGTTTGACAGAAGGTACCAAAATGAAGTATTGTAACAAGATAATTCATCACTTCCTAGTATGGCAACTTTTATACCAAGGAATTCTTCTTATGCTGTTTAATGTTGAAAAGTATACTGTTAGTGATTTAGAGGAACTACTCCCATTTGTACACAAAGAAATACAAGAGGGTAACTTGCTCATGGCTTAAAATATTTAAAGATTGCCACCACATTAAATTTCTGAAAAATCGAAGAGAAAAATCGAAGCAAGATATCTCGTTTAACCATGCCCGTGGGTATTAGATTAGTGTACATATATGGTGGACTCTCGACATGGAAGTCAAGCAGTTTAGTTCCTAGGAACCGACAACCCAGGCACCAGCCCATATGATTTGCTTGTAGTGGTGAAGGCTTTGTGCAGAATCAACCACACTTTTTGAGGGGTCGAATACAGAGACCTGGTGCACTATGTGCTGCAAGCTCCCCAAATGGCCCTCCGCAGGTTTTGATTTCAGAGTTGTACTTCTCCTAGACCAGTTGCTATCCAAGGCTATAGAACCCAGTCTGTCCTGCTATTTACCCATAGCTGGAGGGAGAAGAAGAGAATTAATACATTTTCCAAAGCTCGTAAGTGAATGCAGTGGATTCGACTGGAATTCGAACTCGGCTTTCCGATTCCTCAATCCGAGCCGCTAATCATTACTTCGCCTTTCTTCCTACATATATACATGCAGAGATATATGCATTCATATATACATAAGAACGAAAATTCTCATGGACGCAACAGATATTGGATAAGCAGATAGAATTTAGACTTTTATTTAATTCTCCACATTTTTTTGTTTGTTTGCAGTCTGATCACAAAATCCGTAGGAGGTTTTGCTGAGTTTCTCACTTCTTCTTTTCAGATTCTCTGTCACGGAGGTAAGCTAATATTTGGAGAACGTGAGACATGATGATTACCTCCCTTGGGACGAATGGCCAAATATTAAAAAATAAAAGTCGACAAAATCGGCAGCATACAAAATCTTACAGCTTCGCAACCGTAGATTAGCAATTTGGTAAATGTTCAACACTTCAGGGGGGGAAAAAAAAACAGTGAATAGAAAAAATCTTTTTCGTCTGCGTCTCTGGAAAATTGCAGTGATATGAAGTGAAAATAAAACCCCTGAATAATGTTTTAAATAGGTTAATAAAGAAGTCAGTAATATATACAGAAGAAAGAGAAACAGTGGAATTAGGTTTTGACAAATATCTAAATATATCTTCTTTTAATAATTTATTAAAAAATAGTATTAACTCGTACGAGGATTTCATCAAATTTAAGCGTTTTTTTTTCAGCTAGTTTCTTGGTTTCGAAATTGAACGAAGGCAGTAGTTATGACGACGTTATGCCATATTCATCTTCTCACAGGGACTCAAACACAACAAGTAGTCCTACATCAAGTACCTTAAAAAGGTAGTGTTGCCCTGCGTCAGGAGGGTGGCTGCTGGAAGACCCTAATTCTGTTAACAGGACTCTACACCGAGCCACAGGAGCAGGAGGTCTCATTTATGACTGTCATACAATTTATGCAACTTCACCACTCCTTATTTCTGGCCACCTAACTCCCCAGACTGCAACCCCCTGGATTATTATGTGTGTGTAGCACAGTTGAACGAGAGACGAATAAAAATCCCTGTAACACCAAAGATGGACTGAAGGCCATGATTATGGTTGCATTCGCCAACATAAACAAGGAGACCATTCAGAGGAGATACAGTAGATTCCAAAGTCGTCTGGAGGCAGTGCAGCTGATATGAAAAATGACCATCAGTCATTTGTTAACTGGTGCAACAAATGGCTTGCAAATTTTACCGATCCCAAACAAAACTGTTCTCTATTAATAATCTTAAAGCATATTTTAATCTTCCATCTCATGGGTGATCAACATTGCATTTTGTTGTGGCTTGCAGGAGAGAAACTCGAAAATGTTCCTTAGTCGTTTGTTAACTAGGGCAATAAATGGCTTGCAATTTTTAACCGTTCCCAAATGAAACTGTTCTGTATTGATCATCTTAAATTACCTTTTAGTCTTCCATCAGCATGGGTGATCAACACTGCATTTTGTTGCTGCTTGTAGGAGGGAAATTCTGTTAGTAGAACGTTTATACCTCATCAAAATTAGAGATTGTCAATTTAAAATTACAAGAAGAAATTCCACAACTTCTGTACATATTTCTAAGCGAAGAAAAAAATAACATGATGCCTATTGCCTAGAAAACATTTAGTTAGAGCATTTCACGACCTTTCCATATCGTTGTGACGACGTCAAGTATAACCGGTTCTGTTTGAGCTCAGGGGGAAAAAAAAACAAAAAACATGCATACAAAGTTGCAGTAACATCAAAACGCCATTTACCCCCCCCCAACCAAAATAAACGTTTGCAAGGAGTTAACGTGTTCGCTAGGATTATAATGTTAACCAGCTTCGTCATCGTGGAAAAAATACATTTGAAGCTAAGATGAAAATAACTATAGCATATTTTTTCAAGAGTATCTGTCAGCGGTTATTATTTCTTTTATTATAATATCGCTAATAACATGAATTCATAGAAAAGGAGAAAAATACAAAGAATGGATCGAACATTGCAAAAGTCTCCGGGCGTCACGCAGTTAGTAAAGTACGTTTAAGTTAAGTGCAGAACAA